TAAAATTGAAATTTGGGAAAGGCCCCGCTTCATTTTTATTTATTTTTCTCTCTCACTCTAAGCTTATTTCATTTCTCCTTCTAGCTGCTATCCCTCCATCCTCATAATCCTCCACCCCTCCCCAAAAGCCAACGTCTTATTCCAGTTCCAACCTTGCATCTCTCCTTCCCCTTCACAACTTCGATGACCTTCCCATCCCCCACCTAAAACTAAAACATTCATTTCCCAACCCAAAACCAAAACCCACTAAAAAAAAAATCAAAACTTCAATTTGGTATTTTTTTTTGGTCAAGAAAAACTCAAAAAGATTTGGGCAGAATATTGTAGGTATTTTTTAATTTTTATTTATTTATTTATTTATACTTTTATTTATTTATTTTGTCAGATTATTTGTAGCAAGATTTAACTTATTTTTGAGGTAGAGCTTAAACCCATTGCTTCTAATTTATATATATATATATATATATATATATATATGTATGTATGTATTTATAACGGTTATTTGACTAGCCTACTGTATTTGTTTGAAGTAATCAATTAAAAATAAAATTGAAATTGAGTACTTGGGATTGAGTTTTGGTTAAAAGTTATCAACTTATAGTACTATTCCTTTTTCTTAGGCTTATGACGTTCTAAACGTTGCAAAGCTCATTAAATCTTTAGAGTCGAAAAGTAATTTCAACTTTTGCAATAAATTTAGTAGTAAAGTAGATGAATTGTGTTGATATTGATGTTGCAAAGGATATTGGACAATAGATCTGGTCTTGCAGTAGCCAGTAGCTGGTTTATGAAATTTATTGCAATTTTTACATTCTTGATTGCTATACTATTTTCATTTTCGAATAGTATTTATTGACTTATTTTTATTACTTATGTTTGCTTATTTTGCAGAGAATCAAACGTAAATTACCTTTTCTTTGGAATTGTGGATGTTTAGCTTGGTGTTTTTTTTTATTCATTTATTTTCATGTAAATAAATTTGAAATTTGTACAGTATAGATTTTTTTCATGAATATAATATTAATGGAATGTAAAGGATATTTCAAATTTTATTTTGTATATTATTCTTATATCCTATTGAATATACATGGAATATTTTGGAAATTAATCTTGCACCTTTTTTTAATTATTTATATGGCATATAATATTAAATATAGAAATTATTATTATTATTATTATTATTATTATTATTATTATTTTGAAAGATTCTTTTAGTGACAGTAACTTGTCAGTGAAAGTTGGTGTTTTTGTGACATAATAACCTTAATGGTCACAAATAGAGTAATTCTAAATTTGTAATTTGAATATTTGATTTAATAATTTAAATTTTTAATTATGACATTTTTGTCACAAATAATATTTAATATATATGATACCTTATTTTTGTGACAGATGTTTGATACTAATAAGAATAATAGTAGTTTCCATAAAATTTTGCCACTATTATTATATTTTTTGAGTTGAAAGAGTTGTCACTAAAAAGCTGAATAGTTGTGACGATTTTATGAAAGGAGTCACTAGTAAAATTAGTGATGGAGCTACTTGTTATGGCAAGTGAAGACTTGAAAAAATTGTCACTATAAGTTTTACTGACTAAATTGTAAGCTTTTAGTGACCATTTTCATTGTCACTAAAAATTTATTTTCTTGTAGTGTTTTATTCGCAAGATAATGCAAATAAAAATAAAAATACAAATAATTAATTTTATTTCTCACATTGCAAACCTTTTTAATTTTATTATTTATCAACTTTTTATTTTCCTTTCAAAAAAATACTTAGTTATAAAAATGATAATCTTTGGTTTTGGATTTTTTTTTTTAATTTTCTAATATCTAGATGAAATTTTAAAAAAATTATGTTTTTTTTTATTTGAGGAGTTTTCATAAATATTTTTGAAAAACTAGAATAATATTCTTTTGCAAAAATAATTATTTTGAATTCCTTCCAATATTTAAATAAAGTTTTCAAAATCATATTTTAAATATTATTCTTTTTTTATTCCAAAACCGTTTTTTGAAAATCATTTTTGAATCATAAAATTTTAAAACTTTATGTTTTATTCAAATCTTATTTTATTTTATCAAGCATCCACAAACAAATTAATTTTCAAGAATGTATTTTTATTTTATTTATTACTACAATTATTATTATTATTTTTCATAAGTGCTCAAATAATATTAACAAGAATAAAAAAATTAACATAATAACATAAATAACCAAAAGGAGAAAGAAATATACTCATGCAAAGCTTGTGGGCCTGAATCCAGAGAAGTCCAAGTGAAGATGGCTCAAGCCTGCTGGCAATTGGACCAGGAATTGTTTTGGGTCAGACCAGCCTTGAGATTTCGGGTCGGGTCAACTCAACTACAATTTTTGCTCTTCATCCTATTAAAACTACGCCGTTCCATGTATGGTATATAAGCCAAGAAAAGGTCAATTTTTCTTCGTTCTTCTTTTCAGCTTCCTCTGGAAATCTCACTCTCTCTCTAGCAAGGAAAATTCCTCAACCAACACAAGAACAGCCACCCATTTTTCCAGATTCCGGCGCTGTTGCTGCCAGTCGGCCGCCGGACGCTGCCACCTCCCCTCTCTTTTCAGCCCCAGATTTCGAACTCAAGCTTTTCTCGAGTTCCTGGTCGTTAATCCGAGCTCTGATTTTCCAAAATCAAGCTCCAAAGTTCTAGATCTAAGCTGAAAGCTCGAAACTTCAAATCGCAAAACCTCCTCCTTCCACTGTCCGATCCTTCTGCATTTTCAGTATATTGTTCCTCATTTTCCCCTTTCCCTTCTTACCGTTCTGATCGCCGAAAACTTAAGCCGCCACTGCCAACGCCTACACTGCCGCCTGTCATGCCGCCGACGGTGGTGTTTCTACTACCTTTTTTGTTTTCTAGCCTAGACCTGAAAAGAACCCTCCTAAAACCAAACTCTTCCAAATCTGAGAACAAGCCCGAATCTGGAACCCCGTTCCAACTTTCTGTTTTTGTTTTTGTTTTTGTTTTTTTTACTGTGCTTTGGGTTTCCTTTTCTTTTTCTGGCTCTCTTTGCTTGATTGGAGTCCTCACTTGTTGGTGAGGACTGTGGTTTTTGGTTTTTTTTTTTTTGTTGTTGATGGCAGTGGCGTGGCTGAGTGAGTGGGACTAATTGGAGGCTGGTGAAGGTTTGATTTCGGTTGAGGCGTTCTAGGCTGGCGGTGGGTGGTACCTGGGTTTTGGTGGTGGATTGTCGTTGGTGGGTGATGGGCTTAGGTTGTAATGGTTCGGCTGGCAGGGATTTTGGGGCTGTGATGGTGGTTTTGGGTGATGATGGTACGAGCTAGTGTGGTGGTGAAGGGTGCTGTCAACAGAGATTTTTTGCTCTCAAAAAGTTTTTTCTGCTGTTAGACTCCCCACTTTGTATTCTTCCTTCCCCCTGAGTGCCTCCCACGCCCAATCTCTTGGTTCTTGTAGAACTTCAGCCTTCCAACAAGTAATTGCATTTTGGAGCCTTGTTACAGGTTGATTACAGAGCTGCTGATTTTTGGGGGTGTGGAGTGTTTGGTGGATTTGTGTTAGAAGTCAATTACCTAAAATCGAAGGTGAAAAAAATTAAGAGCTGGAGATAGGAACTGTGCCTTGCCGGTTTATGGGGTGGAGAGAAAGCGAAGGGTAAAACCTCCTGGTAGTGGCAACCAAAATTTACCCTTTAATTTTCTCAGTTTTTTTTTAATTAATTTTTTAATTTAAAATCTAACGAAATGGTTAAGGGCTTTTAAATTAATTTTGGATTTTGGTCTTTTTATTGGGTTTTTAAACCCTATCAAACTGAATTTTTAATTGTCTCAAATCAAATTGAATTAGGCTTTGGACATGCAAAATAATCTCAAAAAACAATTAATCCAAAATCAATCAGGAGGAGTCCAATTTAATTTAAACGTTTAAGTCGGTTTAAATTAAGACGTTCAGATCATATTTAAAAAAATTGAATAGAATAAAATTAGATATTTACGATAATGATTATTTCACAAATTTTCAGGCCCACACTGATAATACTATTAAGCCTTATCATATTTTGTTATTTTGTCATCTATTATTTAAAAAAATACTACCATGTGTACTAATAAGAAATTCACACTTTAAAAAAAATTTAAGAAATTATTAATACTCTTGAATGATATTATATAAAAAAATGATATCCAATTCAAAATTAATTTAATTAATTATTTTTAAAACTAAATTTTAATAATTTTAAATTTTAAAATCGATAACCTTTTCTTTTATTTCTTAAGTTACAACTGCCTTAAAAAAAAAAAAATTCCAAGGTGTTTGTCATTTGATAGAGTAACACCCAGTATCCGCTGTAATTAATTCTCCTCCATAATTTACCCGACCATTTTGTCACTTTTGAATAAGAAAAAGAATATCACAGTTACCAACTTACCATGAATGTTAAAATTCATAAATCCCTTAAAAAAAAAAAGAAAGCCTGTAACCTCCGTTTCCAGTACTCTCTCCTTCTCTAACTGATACCCGTTACATCTTCTCTTCCTCCGTACTTTTCATTCAAAAATTGAAAAAGAACATAAAATATCCATTTTATTTTTATCAAATGAAAACAAAAAAGGAAACGTCATTTCCACTGTTTCATAGCTACATTTTTTTTTTTTTTTTAAAAGAGGCAGTTATAACCTCCTTTCCACTCCCCAACCAACTCTACCCATGCAAATAACAAACTGAACTGAACTGAATTTATTATTTTATAAACATTAAAATATATATTTATTTAAATATCAATAGAGAAACAGAAAACTGACGCGCTTGTACCAAGCCCAAAGTCGTTAGTTCAACGGAGCGGTTTTACGGCTCACACCAACAACCCTTTCAAAAACCGTTTTAACTTAAAACCCTATTTTCTCTTCAAAAACACCCACCCTCTTTCTCTTCCCAAAAGACTTTAAAAAAAAAAAAATCGATTTGATTTTGATTTTGGGTTTTTTCCGTTCTTTCTTTTCATTGATAAAGATGATCAACGGTGGTGATAGGGTGAAAGGTTCATGGAGCCCACAAGAAGATGCTAACCTGATCAAGCTAGTGGAACAGCATGGCCCAAGGAACTGGTCCATGATAAGCTCTGGGATTCCTGGAAGATCCGGCAAGTCTTGCCGTCTACGGTGGTGCAACCAACTCAGCCCCGCTGTGCAACATCGTCCCTTTACGCCTGCGGAGGATGCTATTATTATCCAAGAACATGCTGTTCATGGGAATAAATGGGCCACCATTGCTAGGTTATTGCCTGGACGTACTGATAACGCTATAAAAAATCATTGGAACTCGACTTTACGTCGGAAACGAGAAACTGAGTTGTCATCCGGGTCGTCCGAGTCAAACTCGGCTGTGAAAAGGCCAAGTCAGGACGCGTCCGAGTCTGACTCGGAGAATAAGAGGCTCTGCTTAGGAATGGTGTTGCATGAGCATGAGAATGCAGGGTTGGTGGGGCCCAAGACGTTGTTGACGCTGTCTCCGCCGGGGGAGAGCTTTGTCTCGGGACAGGTTGAGGAGAAGGTGGAGGATGAGGAGGAAGAAGAAGAAGAAGAAGAGGAGGTGGTGGTGAAAAGTGAGGAAGAAGGCGGTGGCGGTGACGAGGAGGAGAAAAGTAGAGCGGTGATGGAGGAAACTTGCTTGTTGACGATCATGCAACGTATGATTAAAGAGGAGGTTAGGAGTTACATTGATAGATTAAGAGCTCATCAAAATCCATGAAAATATGAGTTATGTTACTAAAAACTCTATCTGTGTTTTATTTCTTTTTTTTATTATTTTTTATTTTAGTTTGTATTTTGCAATGCAGTCTGGGAAACCCAGGATTTGATCGGGACATTTTTCCAATGGAGCAGAAATCAAAGACATGTCGCTAATCTTTGTTTTTGGTTGTTTTACTTTTTTTTTTCTTTTTTTGTTAGCCCCTAGGAAAATACAAAACATGGGATGAGTCGAATTAAGGTTTCATAAGAAGCAAATTAGAATTTAGAAATTAACTAGTTTAGAACATGGAAGACCCGAAGAGAAATGTTAAAAAAGTGGCTTTGTTAGACAAAAAGTACAAATACAGTACGCGACTTCAGTGGCTCTGTTTCCTACGGGTCTACGCAGTGACAGAATCGAATAGCTGTTCTGATTCCCGAATTCGATAGGATTTGATTTGAAAAAGAGGCCTGAAGAACGAAACTTTGACAACAACTCTGAAAACGTTTCTAATAAAGATTTCTATGCATTTATTAGCTCGACAAATTATCAAAACCAATAATATCTCAAATTCATTAATTAAATTTGTTAAGTAAACAAATAAATTATAAATATAATTCAAGTTCGTTTTATTTATAATATAAAAACATAAACACCGAAAACGCTTAACAACTTATGATTAAGCTCTATTTTATTTATTAAACTTAATAAGTGATTATGATCAATACATAAAGATTCGTTACAATTAAACAAATACATCGACCATCCTAAACATAAAATTCATGCAAATCTTCTCCCTCACTTTTAGGTATACACATCTACACTGCGATGATAATAAAAATGCTTCAGTTTCCACAACGGTAAACACCAAAATCCTGGTTACATCCCATAGCTGATTGATGTTAACTCAACTATCAGTCAAACCCTGGAGAGGAGCTTACTTTCTTTCTTAATCTGTCTGAAGGTATAAACATAGGTACTTAATCAATTGATTCTCATAAAACCAAGCTATAAATGATAAGCCAAGCATATATAAGGGATTGTGAGCTTTCCTATCAACACAATATGACCTCTTCCAAGTCTATACCGCACAAAGACGCTTTTCCTATATAGATTCAGAGTGCTTAAGCCATTAATAGTGTCCCACTCGGTAACAAGCACTAACTCTTGGCATGGAGGGTATATGCAACAAACACAAGGGATCGGTTCCCATTTGGTCACCGACTGCTCCATGTTCATTGCAAGCACAAGCCTTGATTACCCGTTTCATGGCTTAAAATTCACAGCTTGAAGCATCCAAAAGCATAAGCATTGGCTACCCATATCTCATACTTCCGTAATGGCACAAAGACAGCAATAAGCAATCTCATCAACCTAGTCAACTACTCACTATATGCTAACTACAATCAATCTATTACCATAATCTTCCATGTATAATTTCGAACACATTTTTTTACAGATAACAAGAGAAAATAAACCATATTTTACCCAGTAATTGCAACCCTCAGCAAAACCCATCAAAAATTTAACACCCAAAAGCTGATGTTAATTAAAAACTCAATACCATTTTTCAAGTAGACGGAAATGGTTCAACAAAAATACCAAACTAAAACATAAAAATAGAACAACTTTAATCCTTTAACGAAAAGTACCCATCAAACAACAGAAATGTAAAGACAGAGAGATCCAATTGCTAGCTCCAAAGAAAATTAGACTACTTAGATCTCTGCCTCATCTTTCTTCTCTTCCTCTTCAACCTCCTCATTCGCTTCTTCTTCCACTGAAATTACCAAAAAATAAAAAAAATAAAAAACAAAACAGAAAACATCAGTATTTCAATCAAAAAGCACTGGAAAGATCACAAAGAAATAATGCTTCAATTATTCAGCTTTTTACCTTAGCTCTCATGATGAAGAGGCTTCCAAATGTCCCTTTTTGCAGTTCAAAATCTCCGGTTGGATGTTCTTTTACAGAGGATGCGGCGAGAATGAAGAGAAGAAAATCAGGCTCTGTGATTATATAGATATATCATCGTAAAACCCTAAAGGCCTCCAGACAACAGGTAAGGCCTGGATAATTGGGCTTTGAGATTTTTTATTGGGTTAAGCAAATATGATCCATTTGAAGCCCAAAATCAAATTCTCTGTTTGAGGTCTCAATCTCTGCCTGGTTGGCCCGTCTCAATGATATTCCCAGGGCAGCCCAAAATCCAGTTTGGCCTTAGTGGCTCGTGATATAATTTTTCAGGATTTTTTTTTTCAATAATATGGTCAAGAATGTCTCCAAGGTTTGTCTAGGTCGGGAATGCAATTTTTTTTTTTTTTAATTTATGATATGTTTTGTAGAAGTTTGTAGTAGGAAGATAAAAGGAAAGATTGTAAATATTAATATTTAAATTAAAAAGTTATGTGTAATGTATATGATTATTGATAGAATATAATGATAATTATCTTATATAATATTTAATTTATATTTAAAGAAAAGAATAAGAATTATAAAGAAGATTAATACCCTCTTCGTATAGAATTATTCAATCATCTCTAAGTGAAAAGGATTATTTTTAATCTATGAGATTAAACTTAAATGTCTAATTATACTTTTAAAAATTATATTAATAATTTAAATTATATAAATTTTAAAAAAAATAATTTTGAAAAATAAATAAATTATCTTACCCTAATTCTTGTATACATTAAATATAAAATATGATGATATTATTTAATTTAATCTTGTTTATAATATTATTTTATCCTATCTTATTATAATTTTATTTACCAAACATGACCTAAATCTATTTGATATTATCTTTTTAAAATGATTACTTAAACCAATTAGATATATATCTCAATTGAAATATTAGTGAGCAATACCAATTTACAAGTTACATCATATATACCCTCATTATTAATTTTTTAATTAAAAAGTCTCACGTGGCCAATAGTCACCTAATCTGATAAAGTATGGACTTTTAGTTTTAATTATTAAAATTTAAATTTTGATAACTAATCTCATGTATTAAAAAATGATTTTTTTTCAGGAAATAAAAAAGACTTCTTAAAGGTTAAGTAATATTATATTCTTCTTTTTTTATTTTACTATATTGCTTCTGATTTTCGGTGGTAGTCATAATTTTCATACACTTTAAAAAAAATTATTTTCCATTCAAAAAAACAGTTTAATAGATTTTCACATACAAAAAATGCCATCATACTTCATAATTGTGATATTAAAGGGAAAATCTTGTAAAACAAAGATTAAAATATTAATTTTAGAATTAAGGGACTGCTAAATCAAATCCCACCATGCATCCTAATTTTAGTATTGTTCTATTTTCTAGCAAGCAGCAAGCAAAAGGCTAATGAGAAATTTTGGCAAGTAATAGAGGGAAAAAAAAAAGATCGGTTTTGATGAACAAATAAATGAGTACTGCCATCGCCTTTCCAAATTCATGCTTTGAAAACCCACAAAGGGATTTGCATTTAATGGAAAATCTTGCATCAATATGTCAACTAAGTTTGTTACTCACCTACCACAAGCCCCACAACCAGAAAATCCATCATTCTGAAGAGAGGCAAATTGCATTACTACTTCTAATTAGTAGACGACAGCAGCCAATTTCATTGACATCCACCCATTCTGCCAATAACTTTAGTCTCCAAGCTTGCAATTTTGAGGGCAAAAAGAGTGCAACTGTTAACAAAATTAAGGCTACTTCAATGAAAAAAAAAAAACGATAAATTAGTTTTTTTTTCCAAGTTAAATTAAGATTTTGCTCATGTTTTCACTTATGTATTAAGGGTAAAAATTAAAATGTATCATTTGAATATAAAACTTTGCTCCATGTTTATAAAGAAAATTAATGACACTAAGAAAAAAAAATCTATTTTTTTATAAAATGAAAGTCATATCTTGGATAAGAGAAGAGTTGCAAGTATTAAAATTCAAACTTCAAACTTGTTAGATATTACTTTTTAAAAGTGATTGCATGAAATAATTGATTTAAATTTAATATTCAAAAAATAACTCTATTTTTCATCGACAAGTATTTGATCATTCTAAGAACATTTAGAAACTAAAATCTTAAATAAAAGTGGATATGGAGAAATGTGTCTTTAAAATCGTCAAATAAAATATGGAGATACCTCTGATTGTCTTATAAAAAAATGATGAAACATATATATTTGAAAGCGGAAACGAGAACAACCTTATTATAAATTAACATCACAATCCAATAGTTCACCATATTTTTAAACTACCCAACAATGATATTGGTTTTACAATGGCCGTGTTATGTCCAATCCCAACAATGGCAAATGCGTCTACTTCTTGTATGTTTGTTTTGTGATGGAAGTTTGGACCTGATTGGAAATTAACGGTTGGTAACAATTGGTAATTACTCTTCTATTGCAGTTGATCGATCAGCTTCATATATCTTAGTTCATGCTTAAGCTTAGATACCCTTTCAAATAAAGTCTGTTGAAGCATTTCTAAAAGAATCAAATTTGACAGAGAATATCTAGCTATCCTCAATCTGATTACTTCCTTAACAGTTAACATTTGCATGCTTTGTATTGAATAACTGGATCTTAAGTTAAATTTAAATAAACAAACGAATTGCTAATATAGGTCTAATGGCATCAACCTTTTGTCTAGAAAAGGGCATTTTTATAAAAAAAATCATAATAATAATAATAAGAAGAAGAAGAAGGGCATTCAAGGTTTAGAGAAGGATTTTATGAAACATACACAATAATTTAAAAGAAAAAAAAAGATATATACGCTCATTTAATAGATATATTTTATACTTTTCAAGTAAAATATAAGGTTTCAAAACTCTATTATAATTAATAAAAATTTAATATATTTACCAAAGTCTTTAGAATAAGAATTATACACGTAAGTACATAAATTTTTTTAGAAAGTGAGTGCATCATTCAAATACATTTCTTTAATGCTTGTAGAATTGATCTTGTTAAAATTTCTTGGGAGTAAAATTCATAAACGATGTATTTAATGCATTAACATATCAAAATTTGAATGAAAGCGATATCTTAAGGTTTTAGCTTTTAAAAATAAATATCACTTTAACGAGTGTTTATAAGCGTTGATTAATGTTTTTGGTAATAGAATGACGATTTAATACAATATTATTGATCCAAATAACCTAAATACTTTGATGATTTGAATGAATGTGCAACAAGTGAGAAGCAAAAGGGCATGAATTTGATTTCTCCACTCATAACAACCCACGTTCAAAAGGCAACAGCTGACCAAACTTATTCGTCCATTACTAAAAGACAAATAATAACATCGAGCCAATGCACATGGCATTCCGATCGGCGCACTCTCGACAAACCATAGCAAAATACAAAAAGAAATACTCTACTCAAAATAAATTAGTGTGAACAGATGCTTTGCAACAAAGATTAACGTCATTTAAAAATATTATTTAGACAATATTTTTTTTTTTTTTGGTTATTGGGTTACAATGACAGGAATCTGATGAAGCTCTGATTCAACTCGGAGAGGAGATCTACAAAGTGGGCAACTCGACTCAGCACTGAGCCACCTATCAACACACTCGGAATGAAAGGAATGCTCACAAGATGGCAAAACCTTAATTTTCTCACCTTCTTCAAACACTCCAAGGCAAATACAGCACTCACTCTCAATGGCCTCCCTCCCGCGCCTGACCATAGTTATCGGCAACGCATTGATGGTAGCAGGGTCAAGCCCTCGAGGCTGCCGGGGAGGCGGTGGAGGCGAGTGGGAGGTCGGAGACGGGGTATCTCGATAGAAACTGCACGCCCATCGGGCGTAAACGAAGATAAGGGTGAAAATAAAGATGATGGCGAAGAGGACGATGATGAAGAAGAGTGTTCGGCCTCGGATTTCGAAGTCATGGTCTTCGAGCTCAGCGTAGTGCCAGTGGAAAGGCTGGGACTCTTGGGACGAAGCCATTTGGGGAAAGGGGAGGTTTCAAGGATTTTATAACAGTGGAAGTTCATATGGACAGTTGGGATTGTCCGAAAAGTTGGTTTTTATACTAGTATTTTAGGTTTTGTGGTTATGTTTAAAAAATTACAGTTGATATGTACAGTTGACTATAAAAGTAAAATAAATGCATAATTGGATTTTTTTTTTTTTTGTTTTTTTTTTATCATGGATCTGATTTGTTTGTGGGACTCAACTCTCTTGAAGATTTATTTGTATTTATTGGACAGGAAAATTTTATACTTCCAAGTTTTTCTAAGGATATGGCTCATACTATGTTCAACAATGGGGGTGTTCATAATTCATATAAAAGCATAAATAAAATTGCTTTTCTTCGTCGATAAAAGGACATCCCCAATAAAAAGAAAGTTGGGAGTATCAAATTTAAATCCAAAGGATAATAAATTATGTCGAATTGGTATATTGGAAATATTGGTTTAATTTGTGAGACTAGCTCTTCCAATCTTGAACAATTTAGACTTTCTTCCTGACAACAGCTCATCCAAAGAAGAGACCAATAATGCAATTGGATGAGGAGGCTCTGGTGGAGATGGGTTCCTAATTCCTGCCTGGTGGGGAATAAAAATATATACAACTGGGATGTAGTTGAGGTTAATGCAATTGGGTTTCAATCAGCCGTTCGTACGTCCACTACTTGGGCTTAATTTAGCTGAAATTACCAATCCATTGGGCTTCTCCACATATAATCAAAGAGGAGTCCATGGTTTAACCGCTTAATTATTTTAGTATGCAACAAAAACTATAAAAGTATAAGAACTTCGTTTGTCAATATCAGCTCAAAGTAATTAAAAACCTTCTACAGTTTTATCACTGTCAAAATAATAATAATAATAATAAAAGAAAAATCAGCTGAGAAAAAGGAGACACATATATGCGATTATTGTTTAGTAGAATGAGCATGTATATAAATGTTGAAAAAAAATGCTATAATTATTAGTATATACATATAAAGGAGATGGAATGAAATTTAATCACAAGCACAAAACAAGCCAATATAGAAAGAACAAACAGACGATCGCCAACACAGAAAAGCAGTAAAAGAAAGAACATCTGCACGTGCTACAAAACAAGGTTTCCAGAGGAAATAATAAAAAGGAAAAAGGGCGATGATCAATGCATCACCCTAAAATACAAATAATTTTGCGATGATATATATATAAATACATATATATATATCTATCTATCATCTTAACCAAATCGAGTATTACTTATGTACTTGAAAAATGGCAACATCTTCTTACATCATAAAATATTTTTTATATAATGACGCTTAATTATATTGACAATTAAATTCTATCAATAAAAAAGATTTTTATTAATGAATTTTTAATATTATCAAAATATACCGTACTTATATCAATATTTTATTTAATCATCAATATAAATGAACTTTTTCTAACAGTATATGACTATTCGTCAGTATAAATATATTATAAACTGACAGTTATTAACATAACCATCAGTATAGGCTCAAAACAAAAAAACTATTAGCTTAAAAAAATTGAATAAGATTATTGAAGGTATTTTTTTACCAAAAACACCTTTAATAATCCATACAAAAAAAAAATTTATGGATTATTTATGGATGGTTTTTTAATACCGTCAAAATATACCATATTTATACCAATAATTTATTTAATCTTTTATATAAATAAACTTTTTTCTGATAGTATATAACTATCGATTAATATAAATATGTTATATATCGACGGTTATTAACATAATCGTCAATATAGGCTCAAAACAAAAAAGTTATTGGCTTACAAAAAATTGAATGAGATTATTGAAGGCGTTTTTGGTAATAATTATATAAAAAATTTTGAAAATGATTATTGAAGGCATTTTTATCCAAAAAAGCTTTCAATAATCCAAAGAAAAAAATTTTGTTGAGGGAATTATTGAAAGTATTTTTGACCAAAAAATCCTTCAATAATTCTTTCAACAAAATTTAGAAAAAATTATTGAAAGTGTTTTTTATCAAAAAAACCTTCAATAATCTCTCATAAAAATTTATTAAAGGGAATATTGAAGGCGTTTTTCAATAATTCAAACAAAAAATTTTGTTGAAGAGATTATTAAAAGCGTTTTTTTGTTTAAAACGCTTTTAATAATCCATTCAAATAATTTTAGAAAGGGATTATTGAAGGAATTTTTGGTCAAAAACGTTTTCAATAATCTCCTGAACAAAATTTAGAAAGAATTATTAAAAGCATTTTTTGTCAAAAAGGCCTTCAATAATCTCTCATAAAAATTTACTAAAGAAATTATTGAAGACGTTTTTCAATAATCCAAACAAAAAATTTTGTTAAGGAGATTATTGAAGGCGTTTTTTGTCAAAAACACCTTCAATAATCCATTTAAGAAATTTTAGAGAAGGATTATTGAATGTATTTTCGGCCAAAAACACTTTTAATAATCCATAAAAAATTTTGAAGGGGATTATTCACTATGAGAAAATGAAAGATTAGTAGCAGTTTTGTAGTAACGTTTCACTTACAAACGTCACTAGCTTCCATGATTTTATAAAACTTAAGACATTTATTATCAAAACGTCACTAAATATTCAAATAGCAACGTTGTTACTTATAAATATCATTCAAAACTTGATATTAATGGCATTTATAGACTAAAACGCTTTGAATAATCCTATCTTAAAAATTTGAGTGAATACTAAAAGTATTTTTGATAGAAAACAACTTGAATAATCTCATTAAAAAAATTGATAGGAAATTACTGAAGGAGTTTTTGACAGACAATGCCTTCAATAATCCATTCATAAAAAAATATATGCGATTATTTAATGCGTTTTCTACAAGAAACTCCTTTAATAATTCCACAAAAAAATTTCACAGGCTTTTTGAAGGCGTTTTTGGTCAAAAACACCTTCAATAAATATCCTATCAAAATTTTAGGATCGTATGGATGTTAACCATAAGGTAGTAGGTTCGATCCCTCCTTTTAGCCTTTTTTGGGTTTTTGCAGAGATTATTTGTAATTAATTATTCCAAGTGTTTTCTAGGTAAAAATGTCTTCACCAATTAATTAAAAATTTTGAAGAGAATATTGAAGGCGTTTTTGGCAAAGAAATACCCTTAATAATCCAAAGGAAAATATAGAACCGATTCTTAAAGGTATTTTTGGCCAAACTCACCTTCAATAATCCAATCAATAAATTTTTAATTTGGATTATTACAGGTGGTTTTTATCAAAAATATCTTCAATAATCCATACACAAAAGTTAGAATGAATTCTTGAAGGCGTGTTTGGCTCAAAACGCCTTTAATATTCCACACGATAAATTTGAATGATCGGATGATTAAAGGTGATTTTTGTCAAAAACACCTTCAATAACATTTTGTTAGGGATTATTGAAGGTATTTCTGGCAGAAAAATACCCTAAATAATCCATAGAAAAAATAAGAAACGAATTCTTGAAGGCATTTTTGACTGAAAGTGCCTTTAATAATCCATTCAATTAATTTTTAGTTGGTATTATTAAAGGCGGATTGTTTTAAAAATGCCTTCAATAATCCATACAAAAAAGTTGGAACAGATTCTTGAAGATGTTTTTGGCCCAAAATGCCTTTAATATTCCACACAATAAATTTTTAGGTGGGATTATTGAAGGTAATTTTGGTAAAAAATACCTTCAATAACATTTTGTTAAAGATTATTCAAGGTAGTTTCGTGCTAAATATGCCCTTAATAATCTATAGAAAAAATATGGAACGGATTCTTGAAGGCATTTTTAGTTGAAAGCGCCTTTAATAATGCAAATTTTTAACAGAGATTATTAAAGGTAATTTTTATCAAAAATACCTTCAATAATCCATACACAATATTTGGAACGGATTCTTAAAGGTGTTTTTGTTCCAAAATGCCTTTAATATTTCACACAATATATTTTTAGGTGGAATTATTGAAGGTAATTTTGATTAAAAAGCCTTCAATAATATTTTGTTATGGATGATTTAAGGCGTTTTCTTGCTAAAAACGCTTTCATTAATTCCATCAGAAAAGCATTTTTTATATTGTATATGTCAAGTCAATTGTAAGTTTATGCCCAGAAAATATTTGAAGTCAGTTGTATATTTACACCCAAAAAATATTTGGTTTATATATCTGATACTACGAATTATATTTTGAAATTTATAGAATGAACATTGTTGTATTTCAATAAATTGACCACACATCTGAATTTAAAACTGATAATGTTGTCACATTAATATACTTTGTTGAAATAAACATACTCAATAATATATTAAGTACACGTAGTGCATTCATATAAAACAAATATATACCAATAATATTAAACCAACACCCCAATCTACAAACTTAAATTTTCTATTCAACATGGTATGTTAAAAATATTATAACAACTTGTTCCTCATATATTTACATTCAACCAACAATGTCTAACCTTAACGTTTATCAATATTGATAAATGATAATACATACTCACACTATTATTTATGAACTTCATCCAGTTTCTCTACTGTGAAGCTTTCTTTACTCTCTCACTAAAAAAAATCAAAAGTAAATATTAATAAATGAGAACATAATTTAGCTTTTTATTTTTTTGAAGATACAACGAGTTTATGAAATTTATACTAACTTTGAATGGTGTGGTCATAAAATCATATAAAACTATCTCCCGTATAAAACGAAAAACATAATATCCACATTTAGTATTACTGAGTTGATGAGGTATCTAAAAATTAAATTGAGTGGGTTTAGAAAATATTTATCTACACAAACTCAGCATAAAAGAATAAATTTTACATTTACCAGTAATGACACCTATTTTAATTTTTTTGCCTTCTTATCAAATGCAGATATTATCTTAAATTGAAAAGAAAAAAATTACTTAATACATAAATAAAATTACTTATGAATAAACAGAAGATATATGATATAATAAAGTGTAATACCTCTTTTATAAAAGTTTGAATTTCGAGGTTAGGCATCACTGTTGGATTAACTAAATTAAGTAAGTATGACGTTAAGAATTTAGTGTTAATCACAATAAACACCTAATGATGACTGTAAAATAATAACAGTGATATACTCAGATTATGCATCATATCAGATTTGGGTAAGATTGAAATAATTATTTGTATGAATATAACTTACTATGCATTATACGAGAATAAATAATAATCAACCGATCTTTTCATGCATTTAATCACATGATTAGCACGATAAGCGACTGTGTCACTCTGCTTACTAATGAAGT